TAAAGGGCATAGGAGGAACTAAAGTAGTGCAATAATCATTTCCTCCATAATACTTTTGAAATTAATAAATAAGCCCATGGTCCATAAACATTTGGAAGAAGTTAGAAATCACAATTTATTATGAACAATAAGAAATTCCTTTAATTGATGACCTTTGTTTTATTTTTATATTTTCAGTTTCTAGGTGCAACTTAAAATATTCTACACTGCTGTGGACACATTGAAATGCAATAAAGAAACTGAGACAATTACACAAATAATCCAGGTTTTAAATTTCTTATCTTCCAAAGAAAAGGCTAAGGATGACATCAATTTGCAAACCAAGCAGACATGGTAATTCTTGCACATGTACTTCCAATTTCCATCTTTAATCTCAAAATTACTTTTCTTTTCAACACCTATTAACACCAAATATCAAGTTTACTAAACAATACTGCAGGATAAGCAGTATTGGGAACTTGTGATTGTGTACTAGGCTGATAAAGAACACTGAAACAATGGCCTTCATGATTAATTCAAGTGAAGAATTTGATTTTTTTTAAACCACAGTTCTCAGGGTACTTGGTTGATGATCCAAAATAGGGTCTACACTGTGCAACTAGTAACCTTACTCCTCCTCTCTATGACTTTGTAATGAACTTACTTAATAAACATGAAATAATATTTTAAGAAGTCACTGAGATTTTTGAAGCATTCAAGCTTGTTTCAATGTTCTCATACCACAAGTCACAATAGGAAGAAAGGTATAGATGCCATCAAATTAGGTTACCAGGAAAAAAAAAACTCCCTCTATTTTACTTTATTTAATGTGACACATAAAAAACCCTGCACAAATATCTGTCTTTAATTTCTCTAGTGTAATAAAAGAAATATACTGTGTCTGGCAGAATGAAATGGTTGAACTAGCCTGGTTGCATTTTTTAAAAAGGGGAAGAGGGAAGAAATCAAATGCATACAATGAGCCTTCAAAGCTACTCCAGCAGTTGAGATAAATAATTTAATAAACTCAACTTCATATTCTTTTTATCTCCCCAGTGTAATAGGCATATATTAAAAAATAAAAATTTAAATTTATGAACACTTGTGAATAAACTAGCAGCCAGAGGATAATGAAAAACCACAGAACAATACCTATATAATCACTTAATGTGTGTCTATCACCTAATAGGCACCTTTTCCCAGAAAGGTTACAATTGCTGAAATTTGTGAACACTTAATTCAAGTATGAATTAGGCTTATTATTATTACTACTATTGTTATTATTATTATTAAATTTGTGGAGCTGAGGATTAAACCTAGGGCTTCCTACCTTCCAGGCAAGCACTCTACCACTGAGCTCAAACCCAAAACCAAAATTAAGCTTTTGTTCTTGTAATACAAAAATGTTGGATTCCTACATTTCTAGTCACATCATTTTTTTTTTCTTTAAAGCTTGTAAGGATTATTTAAGGATTATTTTCTGTATCCTACACAAGCAGGTCTACAGAAGGGGATAAATTCCCTAGGAAAAAAGTACTTCTGGAAAAGTTGTTTGCCATTGTTACTTGGAATGCTTTGTAGTGTTAAAAAATGACTAAATGTATTTATTTTATGTTCATTGATACCACCAACAATTTACTGGTGTGCTGTGTCTTTATTAAACTTTTTTTCTAACTGATACATTTAAATCAAGGTTGCTTTGGTAAGAAATGAAATGAAAAAGATTTTAAAATCCAAAACAACAGTCATATGTAAGGATCTCAATCGTTAAATCATGAGATTCTTGGTGTATTTTCTCCTATCAATTAGGTCACTTTTCTTCAATTATTGTTCTATTATTAGCTCAAGTCAAAGATGTCTGCCTGCATACCACTGAACACAATTTAACATTTGTGTATTAAAGCAAGGGACACACACACACACACATTTAGTCTACTTCTAATTACAACAATTATATTTACAGCAAAAAAGCAAAACTAGTATCACTATGGTTCTTTTATAAACTTTACATGTAAGTAAAAAATAGATTTTAAAACCAGCCATATCTTATATCTTTATTTGAAATAACTAGTTCAATAGGTGAGATGATCTTAAAAAAGTTACCATAGTTAACAAACATTACACACACAAATCTAGCTCCAAAACCTGGGTTATAGCTAGTTTAATTAGCATACTATTATTTTAATTCCGTTCCATAGGTTATTTCAATTAAAAAAATAAGTATGGTAGAAAACAGTCAAACGGTCAACAGAAGAGTTTAATTTTCCCTCCAACCACGTAGGGTGTTAAGATCACTGGAAGGATTCAGCTACAGACGGCAATTCATTTCACGTGCTCAGTGTAACAGAAAATCGCAGTGTTGCAGCAACAAGCACTACTTGTGCTGAGTATTATTCCAGGGCGCTCAGTTCACCCCCAGCGACAGCGGCGGACCGGTGAGTCCTGTGTTATGTAAATCACTGTCAGCGCCGGGTGTGACGGCTCAGGGAAGCTGTTCAGAAAACCCAGCCCGGGTGAGGCTAAAACCCAATGACTTCACTTCCCTGCTATATACTAAGGCGAACGAGTTTTTCAGCCTTTTTCTCTTCATCTTACTTTGCCCTCTCAAAGTGCAAATCGTTAGTGAAAAGGCCCCGGTTGCACCAATTAGTTTGCACAAAGTGTTTCAGTGTTTAGCTTCGCTTTAACCCAATTAAGCAGCGCAGCGAGCCCCGAAGATGCACCACCTGCGCGCCTGGCTCCAGCAAGGCCAGGCGGCGCCCCCGGTCGCCCGTGTCTTTCCCTTTAGATCCACCCGAACGGCCAAGGGTTCCCTGTCCCAGGCTGCCTCCCACCCTCAACTGGGGGTGGGAGCGTGTTGGGGGGGGGGGAGAAGGATTGAGTCTGCAGGTGGCCCCGAGGCCAAGCATCACTGGCCAGAACCCAAATGAGAGGCGCTGGGCACAAGGGCCCGCCGCCCTGTGGAGGAAACGCCAGGCTCCGCGGCCACCATTCTTGGATGGGAAGGAGGCGAGGTCTGAGGCAGGCCTGGACACAGAGCAAGGTCTTCAAAGGACGAGGACAAGGCGAGCACACCAGGAGGAGTTTAAAAATAACCTTTTCATATAAATGAAGTCCATCGGACAGAGAAGAGAGCGGGAAGAAAGAGGATCTGGGAGTGCAGAGCCCTGGGGCAGAGGTGGGCAGCTAGGTGCACGGGAGAGTACCAGCGCTAGGAGAGGGCTGTGGTGGCCCTTCCCCAGAGACAGCTGCATTTCTGCACTACTTTGCTTTTAAGGGTCCCTCGGGCTCTGATTTGCCTCCTCTTCCTCCCCTTCAAACTGCCAAAAGACAGCAACACCTGCCAAGTGGGGAGGAGCTTCTTTTGGGTTTCCAGTCTTTTAGGAAAGGAAGGGACCTGGGCAATGAAGTTCGCGTCACCAGCCCGCAAAGTAATGTGCTATTTTAACGTAAATCGGAATCCATCATCCTTCTATAATGAGGAAGTAAATTATGGGAGGCTCTGTGATGCGCTGATCAATGCTCACCTGCTTCCCCTTCCCCCCCACCCCAGAAAATCCCAAAGCTTGAGCGAAACAGGGCAGGTGGGAGGGAGCCCTCAATATGAGCCTGCTAAATGTGGTTCTGAAAGAAAGTGTTTAGATACCTGCTTCCCGGAGCTATGGATTTCCAGGGAAGTATTTTCTTAGTTTGAAAGAGCAGTTATCTAAATTAAAGGTAGAAACAAACAAACAAACTTGTTTAGGGAAACTACCTTGTATAATGTATTTCTTTACTTTTTGCTCATGAAGGATACAACTCTGTACTACCAAGAATAAGCAAGTCCTACATAAACCATTTTCCTCCTATTTTAAGGTTCCAGAATTCAGATATTTTTAAAATTTCTTTCAGTTTTTTAAAATGATGTTTAATGCTAATAAGTGAGAATGACTGTAAATTAATAATATTAACCATTTTCCCTTAATTGAAACATATGGAATAGTTTTAAAATTCACCACTAAGGCTGCTTAAGCTAAGAGATATACCTATAAACAAGCCGGAAACTGTGTCAATGGGTCTCATTTCTATAATCTCTTCTGAATTTCACGCACCATGATACAGCTGACTATGAAATCACACTAAAATAATCCTGAAATTCCAGAGACCATTTATTTTTAAAATATTTTTACAAATACATAAAGGGTTGGTTTAGTGTTCTGCTTGAAGCACTGGACAAATTACCTACTTGCCAGACTGACTGCAAATGGGAGGAGAGCAGATACTTTTTTAAATATTCTAGTTTAAACTGGGGAGCATAGGGTCTCCCACATTCAGCAATAATTTTCAGGTTCTTCTCAACAAGTGCAGAGGAGGCATAGAGTAAGCTACTTGCCTACAGGGTGTGTGTGTGTGTGTGTGTGTGTGTGTGTGTGTGTGTGTGTGTGTGTGTGTGTGTGTGTGTGTGTGTGATTCTAACACACAGGAAACATCCAAAAGGCGAAAATGACTCAAGTACTATACTCCACCTAAATCCAGTTTCTGTTAGCTAGTAGTCAGGCATGAAAGAACAAACTTTGAACCTGCACTTCAAAAAGACCCTGAGGATTAGCGGACATTAATTATCTTCGTCTAAATGCAAGTTAGTGACTTTGTTTTAGAAAGCCCTATTTAGTTCACTAATTGATGGATGACCATTAATACACCTGTATTTGCATTTCAGTGGTAAACAGACAGGCAGGGTTTTCAGTACAGAAGAGAGAGAGAGCCACTTTGCCAAGTCTTTGCAAAACGTCAATATGCTTCAAGTAATACCAAAGCCGAGAGATTTCTCCTTGATTTCCAAACTGTCTAGGTGGCCTGGGTGGTTTTCTGCCGCCAGCAGCTTCCTACCTTTACTTTGTGTGCTTAGATCCACGAGGGGGGATTAATTAGCCGGGCTGGAGCTGAAGGAGGCTGTCGTGACGAGCCCAGTGGCGATTGGCCGCCCGCCTGCCTGGCCCTGCCTTTATAATTTCCACACCAGTGCATCTGGGCTCTTAGGCAAACCTACAGCAGCTTCTTCTGACATATATACACGCACACTCACGCCCGACGCACACTCGGCACACTTTTCCTCCACCTGATTAACAGTCTTGCACACACAATGATTACAGGAAAACGTAAATAAATACAGAAAGGGTGATTCTTTTGGCTACTGGAAGAGCTTTGCTGGGTCTCAGAGCAACTTTTGTTTTTATTACCGAGGGGGTGATCTCTCCAAGCGTCTCTCTCACAGGAGGACTCAGTAAAAGAGGAAGAGAGACTGCAGAAGAGGGGGAGAGCCACCTATCACTTTAAGACCGGCTGGACTCCCAGATAAAAGGAAGGGGAGAGCCGGCCGCCCGGAGGCCACCGCAGCAGCCCGTCGGAAAGACACTTTTGAGACGTTCCTGAGCGCTGCGGCCCATTTCTGCACCGAAGTTGGCTCCTGCTCTAGCAGCCGCATTGGATCCCACAGCGTACTGCGAGACTCCGGTGTACAATCCGGATCTCTGCCCCAACATGATCGCGGCCCAAGCCAAGCTGGTCTACCATCTGAATAAGTACTACAATGAAAAATGCCAAGCCAGGAAAGCTGCCATCGCCAAAACTATCCGGGAAGTCTGCAAAGTCGTTTCCGACGTACTGAAGGAAGTGGAAGTGCAGGAACCCCGGTTCATCAGCTCTCTCAACGAGATGGACAATCGCTACGAGGGCCTCGAGGTCATCTCGCCAACCGAATTTGAAGTGGTGCTTTATCTTAACCAAATGGGGGTGTTCAACTTCGTGGACGACGGCTCGCTGCCCGGCTGCGCGGTGCTGAAGTTAAGCGACGGGCGCAAGAGGAGCATGTCCCTTTGGGTGGAGTTCATCACCGCCTCCGGCTACCTCTCTGCGCGCAAAATCCGCTCCCGGTTTCAGACGCTGGTGGCTCAAGCGGTAGACAAATGTAGCTACCGGGATGTGGTAAAGATGGTGGCTGACACCAGCGAAGTGAAACTGAGAATCCGAGATAGGTACGTGGTGCAGATCACGCCGGCTTTTAAATGCACCGGGATCTGGCCCAGGAGTGCTGCCCACTGGCCGCTTCCTCACATCCCCTGGCCGGGGCCCAACCGGGTGGCGGAGGTCAAAGCGGAAGGGTTCAATCTCTTGTCCAAGGAGTGCCACTCCCTGGCCGGCAAGCAGAGCTCGGCCGAGAGCGACGCCTGGGTGCTGCAGTTCGCGGAGGCGGAGAACAGACTGCAGATGGGGGGCTGCAGAAAGAAATGCCTCTCCATCCTCAAAACCTTACGGGATCGACACCTCGAGCTGCCAGGCCAGCCCCTGAACAACTACCACATGAAGACGTTAGTGTCCTACGAGTGTGAAAAGCATCCCAGGGAGTCGGACTGGGACGAGTCTTGCCTGGGAGACCGGCTGAACGGGATTCTGCTGCAACTCATCTCCTGCCTGCAGTGCCGGCGGTGTCCCCACTACTTCCTACCGAACTTAGATCTGTTTCAAGGCAAGCCTCACTCAGCCCTGGAAAACGCTGCCAAACAAACGTGGCGGCTGGCACGGGAGATCCTGACCAACCCGAAAAGTTTGGAAAAACTTTAGAGGATGATCTAATCAAGAGCTGAAATGTTACTCTTCTCCAAGTCCTCATGAAATGAAAACTTCCTGTTCGAGACCTATCAAATACTCGGCGAGACAGTGCAAACAGTCTCTTCCTTAAAAAGGAGTAATACTATCAACGTGTAAGCATCATCTCACCTCTCCCGTCAAGGGGAGAAAAAGAAGCAGTGAAGGAGGTAGAAAAACCCAAACAAGTATTTACAAGACTTCTTTACACACGGTTCCCTATCTCCCTTAAAAAGTACAGGATAACACCGGGAAATCGGCGCCGCTGCAATGAAGAACCATGAACACTGCCTATCAAAGGATTATAGCAATTCTGTGATTTAGGTACATCTGTCTGTGAGTAAACACGACTTGGATTTGCCATCTGAAGGAAAGTGTAATGTATATTTTGGTTTGTAACAAAAATTGTGATCTCACATTGTCTTTTAAAGTGTGGATGTTGGTGTTTTGTGATTTGGTGAACAGAACTTAAATTGCCATTTTTGGATACTTCCAGACATTTTTCACTAACCAAGATACCATTTAAAGGTAGATTTCCTCCTGGTACTTTTATCTGTCTTTGAAAGTGTCTGAACTTTAAAAAGTTTACATTTTTTTTGTTTCAAATATATTGCTTGTTCTATTTCTAACATTCCATAAATATACTTGAAATGTTATTTAAATATATTCAAAGGAATTTGAATTCAGCTTATATAATAACGCTTGAATATCTGAATTATATATTTGAAAAATGCACTTGAAATACACTGGATAATTACTTTTGTGATTTAGATTTTAATTTCTGTTGCTGATTTTTATTTAATTAGAAGCTAATAAATGAAGTAAAATACCAAGTTGCTGTGTTTTGCTTTGAATTGTTTTTCTATCAAAAGATGTGATGCTCCATTTTGAAAGTCGATTGCATTTGAATATTTAAACATTTTTGGAAATAAAATAGACTTTTGAAATTATTAAAAATAAACATGAAGATACTGAAGAAGAGCTCTTTTTGTCTAGCTACAGAAGATCTCCATCTCCCTTCAGTTTTTAGCTTGTTTATAAGACCATTCCTTCCTTCCTACAACTTACACAATTTAAATCAACCTCTGAAACCTTGCTCTTCTGGTTAGTATTTCTAAAACATTTTTGACAATATAAGGAACGAAATCTATCATTACAGTAGTTCAAATGGAATGACTTAAAAATCAGACTAATTTAGAGCAAATAAATTTAACATCATAATGAAAAATTGTGAAATTTGGATATGGAAGGTAAGCTGATAAACATAATTTCTAACCAATATACTTTGTCAAACCTTATTTTATGTAATGTAAGGGTTCCATTAGCAGAATAAATTAGTCACAAAACCAAAATTTCTTTTTGTACTTCAGAGGACAAGCTAAAACACAGAGCAAGCTTTTAACTACTTAAAATACAGAGCATCCAAGCTCACTTAAAAAATTCATTGATTCTGGAGCTACAACAAGTCTTTTGGAGTATTTTAATAGCCTACAAGTGCTGAAAGGTCTCATTACTAATAGGCCTTAATTAATCCAGGTGGTGATAAACTTTAGAATTTGAATTGTTATTTTACAGATCACCTTCATACTGCTTTATTTCTGTATCTAAGTTAAACAAGAATACACTCGTAGGTTTACAGGAGTTATAAATTATTTTATAATGACTGTCTCTGAAAACATTTTAAAGGAAGATCTTTGCACAATAATGCCAAAATATCTAGTATGACATTTATCTTAAATTCTTAAATTCAGGAAAAAGTTTTCATATTCTACAGTCACATGAAAGTTAAAACAACAGAGTTCTGAATCATAGAGCTGCTCTAATGCTCAATTGTTTAAAATCTGTAAGATCAAATATATGATTTCAAATGGTCCAAATATCTATTTTCTGGAGTAAGACCTGAAGAAGCATACAACCTAGAATATGCTAGAATATGCTGTGTGTATACATTTTAAAGGTTTTAGAGTGTAAGTTTCTTTCTCTTACATTCATATGTAAAATCCATTCTTATTTTGGAATATGAAAAATGGATGTAATAATGCAGATGAAATTATATCTTAATGGATCCCACCCCAGATTCCTTATAACATTTCAATAAATAATAATTCATACTGCAACTCATACTTTTGGAAATTAATAGTAATCTTATACAAAATTTCCTAGGACTTTCCTCACTGAAATGCTGGGGGTGGGGAAGTACCTCTGAGGAGCACTTGTCTTTATCAAATCTGCCCAAGTGCACACAAAGGCACTCACAGGAAAACTGTTGAAGTGTGTATGCTCTGGTAATACAAGATTTAAACTCATTCATATATACTCCAATTCCATAAAAGAGAGCATGTGTCTTTTCATTCATTTTATTTTCTGTGAGAAAGAGAATGCATTCCCTCCCCCATTTTCATTAAAATCCAAGCAAAATCGAAAACCACTTCCTGCCAAAAAAGCCACTAATATTGTACATGGAATCACTCTGACTCACTTTCGTGTCGATCTTCTTGAAGGCAGGATCATCTTCATCTACTTCGAAGTAGATTTCTGTCGTGGTTATGGAGAGAGTCCCCTTGGCGACCACCACTGGAGCAATGAGCTGGGCTGGGGTGCTGAGAACCACAGGGCCTAAAAGACAAGGGAATGGAGTCAGGCTGTGCCCCTGACCCTCTCCTACTCCCCCAAAGGGCACCAACAGGGTTTTATTGGTAAAGATGTGCTATGAAAAAATGATGCCTACATTATGTGGCAAAATCTTTTCACATTAGACACGATATGCTGATCTGCCCAGTTTTTAAATAGTTACTTGTAGAGTTGGGAGACAAAGAATTGTATAAAACCCAAGAGGTCAAGCAACTCATTTGCAGAAAGGGCTGCACAATGCCTAGATTCTCCACTGAGCATCACTTGCTTTCCAAAAGACCCTAGCTATTGGGCATCGCCAGAAAGACCAACCACCATTTCAAGCCATTCCAATCGGTGGCATGGCTCCCCAGGAGAGGCAGAAGAGACAGAGGAGGAAAAGATTTAAATATGTAAGTTGCTCTGTACTGAGAGGTCAGCATCCTGAGGGTTTTTTTTCTCCTGAATATCAGAGTTTCAGCCCCACCACACACGTGCGTGAGTGAGAGAAAACATTAAAGTTCTTATGCAGAAAACGGAAATCTTTTAACCTGTTTTTTTTTTTTTTACCACAGAATCGTCAAAAAAGATGCAAATGTAAGAAAGACGCTGAAACAAAACGATTCCTAGAAAAGGCATCTGCAAGTGCTGTTTGCCAACTGTGGAAAGAACTAGGGTTCAGTAAAATATTTTAATTATTATTTATTATTATTTTAAACAAAGTGAACCTATGGGTGCTTACTTGGAATTTCCTCAATCTGAACGCCAGGACATTAGAATACTGATGGGGGCTGGGGGGGGACTGAGGGGTAGGAGGGGAGGATGTGGTGATCAAAATGCCCTGGTCAAAATTCCTCAAAGTGGAGGCATACTTCGTGATCCTGTCTTAACACAGGACATGGAAATCAGAAACAACGCGGTCTTTTTCTCCCGCTGGGGTACCACGGCACTCCAGAACCCGTCACCTACCGGCTCAAATGCATGTAGTCAAATGAGCCAAGCCAACAGGAGGAGAAAGGCAATAAAAAGCCAGACCCCCAGCGCCCTAGTAGGCCCCGGCACCATGCGGAGAGACCTTCTGGAGTCGCCACCGCCCAGCGTGGACCGGGCCCGGCCTGCGCGGGAGACTGGCGGTGGCAAAAACTGCCGTCCCGGGGAGCCACGCACCCCTAGTCTGCGACGGTCGCCTCTGTGGCTGGAAGAACAGAGAGGGCTGGGCAGGCTTCCGTGGTGCCTAAAGGGGAGAGGTTCCGCAGCCCGAGGCGTCAATGCCAGCTTTCACTCCCGATGGTGACCGCCTCCGTCAGACTACAGCCCGGCCCAGGCCTCCGTAGTCTGCATTCGGTCCCCGGGGCGCCCTGGGGACTCGGAGCCGCGGTTTCCACCGCCCAGCCCGGCGGAGTCGAGGTCCTTCCCGACTCCGGGACCCTGGTTTTTCTTTGCAAAGGGCGAGGCGGTCGATCTGAAGCGCCACTTTAAAGGCTCATCAATCTTAATCTAGGTTGCTCAAGTAATTATGCCCGAATCTCTTGTACGATTACAAGTGGATTTGGGTTTCTATTCCCCAGGCCCTCCTTTGTGTTTATTGGAGGGTCTCCGCGCGCGGCGTCGCCGCCAGCCTCCCGCGCCCTCCTCCGAGTCCCCCGGCGCGGCGGCCGGTTCCGACCGCTCCCTTAACCCTTAAACCACCAGACCGCTCCTCGGGACGCCACTTCTCCCGTTTCAACTTTGGAGAAATCCGCGCTGTTTACTTTTGAGAGGGGCGACCTGAGGAAGAAAGGTGATGTGATTCCCATCGGAAAGTGTCATCTTTGTAGGGCCTGGCTACAACCTTAGAAAAGTCTTCGCTCCAAATACCAAGGACTCGTGATTTAGGGCTTAATAGAGTTTCTGGCATTTGGAGACGAAGAATAGTCAGAGACACTAAAAATGGCGAACCGCTTCATACTCCTAAAATGTAATATAACACATCCACACAATTAAATCGGGAAAACTGAAAAGAATAAGATCGTGAAACGAATTATGGAAACCATATTCACCGATTTACTGAAATGAATTAAGAATTTTAAGTATGCACCCCATGAACTTTTAACAGGGAACACATTTTACTTATTTCTCTGAATTTCTGCACTTCCTTTTGATTCGACTCCAATTTCAATCTACTGAGTTGAGATTTTTTTCCTAGGAGTTTATAAAAAAGGATTTCGAACTGCTCCTTAAGAAAAGACACATCATGAAATATTCAGCCTTAATAGTGTGTCATTTTCGCTCTTGTCCTTGGAAATCTCCAATTACAACTTCCAATTCCATAGCATGTTTAAGGAGCACTGAGTCTTTTTGTTGCAGCCTTCAGGGAGCAAACCAGCCACAGAGAGAATACCGAGTTAATCCACTACAGCAATAGAGAGAGGGATTATGTTCTAATCCCCTTTGGGGGAGACTCTGGATATTAGGGATCCTATATTAAAACGTTTACCTAAAGCACAATCACAAAACAGCAGATTGTCCATATGGTACCTGGTTATTTGGAAACCTTGATCTCTTGCTAAATAAAGGGTTTCAAAAGGACAGCATCACTGGATGCCAGGGAGATGGTGATAATGGCAGATTTGGTTCTACAGGTGATCTTAACTACAAACTGAACCTTCTAAATGGTGTGGTGTAGTAAGTTGGGGACTGGCTGTAAATATATTAATTCCAATTTCGACTTGTCATAAAAGGATACATGATAATAAACTCATCAGTACACATATACAAGTAATGACGTTAAAGGATAGTTAAATGAATAAACCTCTTTCTACTGTATTGATGCATACAATAATTTAAAATTCCTCCATTTAAAGTGATAATTAAATGCTAAAAAGTTATTTACTTTTTATGATTGATGGTATATTTTAAAAATATGTATCCACTACTATATCACAAGATTGGTGATATTACTTGGCATTAAATGTTAATTTAAAATGTAGATCAAAGATCACCTAAGCATAGTAAGAGGTATCTTGGAAAGAACAAAATTTTTTTTATCATAGGATCAGTTGAGATGGTAAACTTCATCAATTACTTGAGTATAAAATACATATATTTTACATTTGAAAAGGGAATTATCCCTCACATATACTTAAAAAAGCATGTTAAACACTCATGGAGCTGGACTATGCTGTTGAAAATAAAAATTCCTAGCCTAGAAATCTTGGTAATAATGCATTCATATCTTAGCAAAACTTCATAGTTTATAAAAGTCTCTGTTACTTAACTAACAGTCTACTGCACAAGCATGTGGTACTGTTAGTGCTGTCTTGCCTAAGACCAAGTGATTTGAGATTCAAGGAGGCAGAACAGGGATAATTCTGTGATTGGCCATTTTCACAGGCTAGAGGTAGTCAAGAGCTGCAGCTAAAAAGTAGCATTATTCATATTAGCCAGGAGAGGGGGATGTTTGGTATTTCTGTGGTATGCACTGTGACCTTGTTTTTGTCTAAGCTTAGACAAAATTATTAACTTTTTTTGTTGTTTTGTCTCACATCCCTATCCTATGATCCTGACTGATGTCCATTTTGTTTTTCTGTTTAATGTTCAACATAGAAACGTTATGTTTAGCTACGAACTTCAGTCAACCTCGAACACAGAGCCTATGTGCAGTTCAGGCCAGTACCCAAAGGTCATAACCACTTTTTTTTTTGTCTGATGCATTTTTTAGCAAGTTAAACAGCATCATAGATATTAAAATGCAACTAGAACAATTCAATTTTCAAACAATGCTAAGCTTTTCTACAAGTTTTAACATTAAGCAGAGCAAAGACTAACTAGGAAGAAAAAGTTGAAGTTTAATTAGAATTGACATTTTTATAATTATTTGATATGATATTCAACAGGCAAAAACTATACTTAGGATACATGAATTATAATGTACTTCCAAATCACTTTAGCATTTCCTAAACTTATAGCTATAAGTTTTATTAACTGTATGAGTTTTCTACAGTCTCAATTACTTTTAAACCACGCTTACTCTCTTCTTGAACATGTAAAGGATCACTATTTGGCATAACAAACACTGATAAATCCTGATAAAATAATTAAACTTAAAATCTTGACATCATTCAGAAGAGTCCAAATGAATTTGAAAATCTTTACGTTGGGAGTAACAGGATATTCTTTCCAAAAAAATTAAGATAAAAATACAATCAGGAGTAAATTTTTATAATCATTTGTATAATTGATAAAACTGGGAAAAAACTCCCAGTGTGAACAACTGAATATGCAGCTAAAATATCTTACTCTTCTAAACCATGGCCTTATCAATTTTAAAGAAAACATTTTCCTACAGAATTAAAATAATATGATGTTTTAAATCTCAAAACAATCTAAAATAAATTACTGACAGGTCTAAGGAATTTGGAAGTTTGTTTTGAAAACCTTGGAAAGCTTGGAGTCTTTTTTTTTTTTTTTCAGGTAAGGGGTAGACCTGCTGGGACCAGGCAAGGTTGGCACTCCACGTGGCTGGGAAAGAGAGAGGAAAGAGAGAGAAAAAAGCTAGAAAAGAGCAGAGAGAGCAAGAAAAGAACAGAGAGCAGAGAGGAACAGAGAGAGCAGCAAGAATAGAACAGAGAGAGAAGCTTGGATTCTTAAGGAAGCTTCAGTATTTATATACGTGCCAGTAGGGAGAGCAGTCTTAGAAAAATACTATAAACATTCTTATATTTTTATTGTCTAGAATAGCTCCATGTGTTTCAGGCACAATGTCTTAAGGGTAAAGAAGTCATAAAAATATCTCTAGACAGTTTTTTCTTTATATGAAGAACATTGATAGTTGTCCAAATACATGATCTGAATAAACATCCTCTGAAATTTTAACATACTTCACTTTCATGGAAATAGGAGATGAATTAGGAATGGATAACTTAAACATTTCAGAAAATGTACCTTTAGAGTGAAGAATTTAATTTCAGCACTCTTCCCTCTTCATCATGCTCTCACACACAATGTTTCCAAAATGTCCATTAAAA